ACCTCAAACTCCTGAGCTCAAACAATCCGCCCACCTCGGCCTCCCAGAGTGCTAGGATTACAGGCGTGAGCCACCGCGCCCGGCCCCAAACTGTTTTGATTACTACAGCTTTGTAATATGTTTTGAAATCAGGGTGTGAGTTCTCCAGTTTTATTCTTTTTCAAAATTGTTATTGCTATTCAGGGTCCCATGAGATTCCATATAAATTTTAAGATAATTTTTTCTGTTTTTTCAAAAAATGCCATTGGAGTTTTGATAGGGATTGTGTTGACTTTGTAAATCACTTTGGGTAGTATGGACATCTTAACCATCCAGTGATCTTTAACATAATTTGTCACTGTCTCATGTTCACTTCTAGATCCTCATATTATGGTTGATACAGTATCCCAATGATTTATTTCAGTTATTAATATAATATTTCAAATATTTCAATGATGTAGAAAAGTACAGAGAATCATTTATTTGTTCAGCTAATATTTGATGAAAATCTGTGCCCCCTTTCCAATTATCAAGATTTTTATAGATATTGATGTTTTGTCATATTTGTCTAATATTTCCTTTTAAAGATTACTATTTCAGGATCATTATATCATTATAATAAATCAAAATATAAGAAAAAACGTTCTCCAACTAATCTTCCTATCTTCAGTTTTCCCTTATAGTTCTTTCTTATAAGTATGCCACATTTTTTCAGTAATAATCCTGACTTAGATGACATGTTATACTTTGATTCTTTCACTAAATATTATATTGTAAGCTTTTTTTTCATATTGCAGTGTGTTCTTTGTAATTATTCTTTTGATAGAATGTCCTTTTTGCCAACTGGGTATAAGAAAAGCTTAATCTTGGCTCTACTATTTACTGCCTTTGTGATCTGGAAATTTTTTGAGTTCACTGAAACTAATAGTAAAAAGTAAACTTCTAATTATCTAAAAATAGAAATTATAAAAATAACCTATATAAGACTGTTATAAGGATTAAATGTATATTAAAATGTCTGGGACACAGTAGGTCCTTAATAAGTGCTAGTTTCCTTCCCTTTCCTTTTCCCAGGGACCTAGTTTTTATCCTGTTCCTCCAGGGGTTGCCCTCGGAGACTCAGAACTTGCTCTTATTCCTCCAGACCAAGAAAGACCATCCATATACCTGGAGAATTGAACTGGCAAAAACAGAAAAATACTGGGATGGCTGGTTTCGAGGCTTATCCAATCTCTTTCTTAGTTGTCCTATTCCTAAATTGCTGCTCTTGGCTGGTAAGTGTATATTTGTGTGTATTAGTTAGCTTGGGCTGCCATAAAAAAATACCATAGGCTGGGGTGACTTAAACAACAGAAGTTTATTTTCTCACAGTTCCGGAGAGGCTGGAAGTCTGAGAGATCAGGGTGCCAGCATGGTTGGGTTCTGATGAGGGCCGTCTTCCTGGCTTGTAGATAATTGCCTTCACTCTGTGCCCTCATATAGCCAAGAAAGAGTGAGAGCAAGCTCTCTGGTGTCTCTTCTTTTAGGGACACTCATCCTATCATATCAAAGCCCCACCCTTATGACCTCATTTGACTTTAATTACCCCCTTGTAGGTCCTAGCTCCAAATGCAGTCATATTGGGAATTAGGGCTTCAGCATGAATTTTGGGGGGACACAATTCAGTCCATAGTAGTATGGTCATATTGTCATCTGGATATGACCTCATTAAAATTCCTCACCAAAATAAGTAGTGACTTCCAAAGAAGAGTATATTCACTCATCTGTGCCCTTTCTTCTCTCCACACCCAATCTCGGAACCTAACTATGTGTAAGCATCTACCTGGTATGGCCTAATTCTGGCCTGGCCTGGCCTTTGTACCTGGTCAAGCTCAAGTCCTTCTGGTAGAGCTAGATAGATACAGTGGTGTGAGGATAATTCTGAGTATTATGAGAATCAAAACAGTAAAACTCTGTTTTCAAAAACCAATTTAAATGAGCAAAGTTATTATAGGGGAATCTCAACCTGAAAACTTCATTTGGTAAGAATATACCCTCTGGGAGTTAGGAGTGCATTAATATGAATTGAGAATGTCATCACGTTTACAACTTCGTAACAATTCTCACTTTGTACTTGAACAGCAAAACCCATTTTACAGGGCCTTTTCCAGTAAGCTATTTATGGATTCTCTTGCTTTGTTCTAGGTGTTGATAGGTTGGATAAAGATCTGACCATTGGCCAGATGCAAGGTAAGTTATCAGAAAGTTATTCCCCTGGACCCTTTATTGAGGTCAAGGTCATATAGAAATTGATATTCTGAGATGGTGAGGTACAATGGAGAAAGCAGGGGCTTTAGAATCAGACCTAAGTTGACATCCTCCTCTATTCCTGACCTACTATATGATTATGGAGGCAAATATTCCCTTTGATTTTTTTTTTCCATCTAAAAATGAGGATTATAATACTGCCTATATCTCAAAATTATAAGGATTAAAATGAGGCAGTGTGTTTGAATATTATAAAGTACTATATAGGGATATGATATTATAAAAGCAGATATTCTGAATACTAATCAGTATTTTTTATCATTGTTAGAATTTTTAGGAAAGAGAAAGGTCCAAGAAAATCCAGATACAAAAAGGTACAAAATATGTATAGAAGACAGCATGGCGAGGTGTTAAAAACAAGGTCTCTGAAGTTGGGAGAAATGGATTTTAAATATTGCTTTTCTAGTAAATTTTTTATCTGGATAAGGTACTTGGCCTGCCTCAGCTTTAGTCTTCTTAATCTGTAAGATGGGAAAACTGATGGCAGCCTCAAAGGGATCATGAGGTACAATGAGTAGGAAAGTGACATGTTGAACACTGTGCACAGATGCAGGTTATGTTGGCCAGATGACAGTGGAAGCAGCAGGGCCAATTTTTTTTTTTTT